TGTAATCTTCTCCTAATTTGCATACTATACCGCAATGACACGGGCCCTATAGTTTAGTCCCTTTTTCTGTTTTTTCCTTTTTTTAAAAAAAAGGGGAATACATTTGCCGTTTCCATACCTGGGTTGTTCCCCAGTTTCCGGGGTGTTTAAAGATTGGGGTTTAAAGGGGGCCGCACAAAAAATTGCCCCCTCTCTAAGGACCCTGGAGAAAATTGGTTGTCCCCCCCCCATTGCCTTTGGGGTTTTCGAGGGCCCCCTTAGCAGTTTCTTCACCCCCTCCTCCTGTATGTATGTCGCCCAACCCCCTTTTGGGTTTTTAAATTCCCTTTTTGGGTGCCCCCTTTGGGTCTGCCCCCCCAGAGCCCCTTCCTGTTCTATGTAAATATTTCCCTTTAAAATCCCCGTGTTGAGTTTCCCACATCCCCTTTTGTCGTTTCTTGGGGTTTCTCCACCTTTTTTCCTAAACCTTTTTCACCTGGCCCTTTTGACGTTGTTTCCTCCAAATTGTGGCTATACAGCATTTTCGGGTAGATTTGATTTTCGATGCTTGTGGTTTTCTTACTGGGCCGGGGGCCCTCCCTCCTTATCTGGCATATCTTTTCGGGCTCTTCTACTAATCTCCTTGTTTTCCTGGGTCCTATGCCCCCTGTACCTTTTTCCATTCTCTTTTGCACTTATTTTTTTCCCCCTACCCCTTGGGAAAACCCAAAGGCTCTTTTTGGGTCTTCCTATTATTTCTTTTTCCCCTTGGGAACAAAATTTTCCTCTGCCTCCTTGCACTTTGTTGCCCTTCCCCCTTCATCTGGGTTTACTGATTTTCCTCCTTTTTCTCTGTCCCACGAACCTCTGCAGGTTTTTTTCTCAAACCTGTGTGGGCCCCCTTTTTTTAGTTTGGCCTGTCCCCTTTCATTCCGGTTCCCTTCTCCACTTGTAACTATTATATAGTCAAAACTCAAAACCACCAATCGTAGCCCCAAGGGGCCCTCTCGTAAGTGATGTCCTCGATGTTGAACTGCAAGGTGAACCCCAAGATCCAGTCTTGCGGGCCCCTCCTCCCCCCCTCCTCTGGTTGTGCCCCTGACATTTGATGAATGGGGTTTTCGGGTACCAAAATCCATCTTTTTGGTCTCCTTTTTCGGGCCCCCCTTGTGGCCCAAAGTTTTCCCATTCAAATCTCCCGGGGTTGAAATCGCCCTTTTCCCAAATAACTTTGCCCCTGCTCGGGTAGCTTTCTTGCCACCTCACCCGTGTGTCCACCATCCCCCTTTGTTTTTTTCGTACCCTTTTTGGGCCCTCCTGCAGTTTGTGGTGGGGTTATACATCACTCCAATGATTATTTTATTTTTCCCCGGGACTGAATTTTTCCCTACAATTAGTTCTTTCCCCCAATCATGCCCTTGCCTTCCATTTCCTCAAATCCCAAATTGGTGTTTTTTGGCAGTGAACCCCCCTCCCCCCTACTCTTCTATTTTCCTGGGATCTGATATCCTTTTGGGGGAAGATTGTGTTGTTTTTGGGTCTCAGGGGAGTTTTTTTTTTTGTGACTGCTATGATGTCTGGGGATTTTTCACTGAAATTTTTTCTTTTCCAAATCCCCATGTTTATTCGTTTTTTTCCCTTTCCGGGGTTTTTTGTACCAAACTTTAGTTTCTTTTTTTATAAATTTTGGGCATTTCAAGTATTTTGGGGTTGGGGGGGCGGGGGAGCCTTTGGGGGGGGCCTATATGGGGCTGTGGGGGTAGGTGGGGGATGTGTGGTGGGGGGGGGGGTCGAAAGCCCCTAAGGGGAAAAAGCTTTGGGGTTTAGGTTTGTGTAGGGGGGGTTTGGGGGCAGAAAGGAAAAAAGTGAAATGGGTTTTTGTATAGGTTCTCCCGTTGCGTTGGGGAAAGTCGGGGTGGGGGCTTTTTTGGGGGGAGATTCTGTGGGGTGTTTTGCCTTCCTCCTGTGTCTGGGTCCGCTCATTTTCATTTTCCCTTTTTTTCCTCCCCGGGGTCTTGTGTGTGTGTGTTTCTTTGTG